AGCTTTCTACTCCCCGAAAGATTTCCCGTTTCGGACACCCACAGGGGCACTTCTGCTGAGTGAACTTCTTTGGGGAAACAAGAGGTTACACAAGATGGGGAAGACCGAGGGCAGGCCACATGAAGACCTGGACGGAGACCTCCCCCAGAGCTGGCAGCCTGAGTCCAGACGTGTAGGTAGCTTCTTATCAGCAAGGAAAATAAAGTTGCTTGTTTCAGCCACCCCCCCGAGGTACTACTGTTACCACAGCACTAGAGAACTCGACTGGGCACACGCCCTCTGGCACGAGCAGGGGGCTGAGCAAGCGAGTGGAGATCCGGGGGAGGTGGACATCAGGATGCAGAAACCAGAGGTCTAGGGTGGGGAGGCTTCTGCACAGGAAGTGTAACAGGAGTCCTTGGGGTCGTGTGCAGCACACAGAAGCAGGGTTTCGGACTCACAGGCAGGGAGGAATCAGGAAAGCATGTGGCAGCGGCTGCTTTTCTCCCTGTCCACAGACAGGGGCCAAGAAAACTGTGGCAAAGCAGCTGATGCAAGAGTGACACTGATTTGGAAACATGCGATCCCTGAGGAACTTCTCCCAGAAATGGGCTGGCCACTCCGTGAGCTGCTTCCTGGAGGTCCCCGGGGAAAATCATACACTGAGGTCCCTAATACTCCCTCCTGATTATGGCCAGAGGGAGGAAAATTAGGTTTGTTAACTTGCTACAGGGCAAAATACTTGACTTTCAGTGGAGTAATAAAAATTCGGAGGCACTAAGGATGAATAGACTATTAGAAGGGGCTAGGACAAAGGGTAGGAATCAGCCACAAAATGACTTAAAATAATAAAAAAATAAGAAAATGACTTTTATTAAAAAAGAGTCATATTTAATGTACGGACACCCTCCCTCCAAAACAAGGCACGTTACTGCCATCTGTTGTCAGAATAAAAATACAAATCTCTCTTCCTATATAAGGGGAAGGCAAAAAGTATTGCAACAAAATATAGAAACCTTTACTGTACAAAATATAAAAATGCAAAGCTACAGTCTCTTGACATGCCCTCAGCTAAGTGTACACACTTTTGAAAGCAGTGCCCTCCTGAGAGATAGACAGTTTTAGAAACCCTGCACACGGGCCGCTATGAGTTGGAACCAACTGGCTTGTTCTAGCCAGCACCCTCAGTGGTTTCCGTTACTTCTGGAACCAGTTTAACAGCCCCTCACAGCAGCAACAACAACAGAGGCAGCATGAACTCTAGGGCAGTGGGCTAATCCTTCCCTAAGGAATTTGCTCTCCTCAACTCACATCAAGGGATTAAAATCATGGTCCTTTTAAATGCTCTTTGAGTTTGGGGAACAATGAGGTCTGAAGGGACAAGATGGTGTTGGGAGAGGTTTCTCAGGAGATTCTTGTAAGAAAGGTACGTTGTGGTAATGGGGGAATAATTACTCAGCTTAACTTTCCTGGCGTTTTCCTTATTAATGCAGTTTTCTATTTCCTTTTTAAACATTATGATTAAAGGATCATTTTATTGGGGGCTCATACAGCTCTTATCACCTTACATACACATACATCCTACAGTTCTTATAACAATCCATGCATCAATTTTATCAAGCACATTTGTACAAGTTGTCATCATTATTTTCTAAACATTTACTTTCTACTCGAGCCCTTTGTATCATCTCCTCTTCCCCCACCCCCATGACCCCTTGATAAATTATTATTTTCATATCTTATACCGACCGCTGTCTCCTGCCCCCCCCCATTTCTGTTGTTCGTCCCCCAAGGGGTTGTGGGGAGGTTATTTTCTTTAAAAAACTTTCCCCCTAATAACATCCATGATTATTCTTTGTCCTCTGAGAAAATCTATCAAGATTATGTCTTTAAAATAAACAAGAAACAGTTGCCATAAGCTTTGGAGCTGACAGCTGTCTGGAGTAACTAGTTCATCCGATTTCCTCAGAAACCACTGCTTTGGTAGGACTGTTTTGAAGGCCTCCCCGGTGAGACTAAGACACGTATATTACTGGGAGAACTTGGCTGCATTCATTGTAGCGCATACATGTTCATACACATCTGTTCACGTATGAGCTAGCACCCCAGTAGCCATACTATTTGACTTACCCTCCCATGCGTGACATCTCTCCACTGTGTATCATCTGCCCAACGGTCTAGTTCAGTGCAGAAAAGAACACTGGTCAGACATTCCATGTTTATCCTGCCACCAGAAGCACCAGGCTCTGGGGATACTGACCTCTAGGGGAGAGAGGAAGTCATGAACAGGAAAGAACTAGAGGGGGCTGGACCCGCGTTGGTACTATCAGATGATAGGTACATGGATATAGTATAGTTTCTCTGTCGTTTGGCACACCTGTGAAATCCCGGACACTCGAGTGTTCATCCAGGCCAAACCCTTGTGAAGACCCAGAGCAGCGGTTCTCAACCTGTGGGTCGCGCCCCCTCTGGGGGTCAAACGATAATTTTATGGTTGGGGGGGTCACCACAACGTGAGGAACTGCATTAAAGGGTCACAGCATTAGGAAGGTTGAGAACCACTGCTCTAGGGCGATGACAGCTAGAAGGGCTTGTTTACATAAAACCTGAGTCGTGTCCGTTCTCCAGTGAAATTCCAGTTTCACATCACTGTGTCTAAGTGGCAGAAAGCAGGGAGATTTCAGGGCCTAAGCCTACTAGGTTGGTCAAGACCATCGCTTAGTCTTCAGTGAACCCCGTCAACAAGGCTCATTAATATGCATTTCCCTGTAATGCTGGCCTGTGGCTTTTAATGAAAGCTGCAAGCCCAAGAGCAAAGTTCTTCTGGGTTCGAGGCTGAGCGAGCTGCTGTGTGCCACCATCCGGAGAAGGGCGGGAGGGGTCAGCGATGGACACTACAAGGGATGGTGATGTCTTTTTCCTGCGCTCAATCTTACTCAATCCTGAGAGATAGTGGGTCTACTTCTTAAAAAAGGTAAGCCTCTGGCCAGCAGGTTGAACAGCTAAGACCACCAATGAATATACGAGCTCAGGCCATTGTGTTCCAAAGGGAAGTAATGGGCGAGGGAGCGCTGGCAGCGGGAGAAGGGGCCAAGGGGCCCTCCTTCAAGGCTCCCTGGTTAGCGAGTGCAACTGGGGCTCAGCCGCGGAATAACAATCTCTAGCAAGCCTGCCAGAAGATCAACAGCACTCCTTGCAGCTGAGGCACCAGCAGGGAGGTGGCAAGGTCCAACGAGTAAACAACTCACAGCCCTTTCTGGTCTCCAGAGAACATAGGCAGCTGGGAATCTGTAGGCAGTGGAGACAGAAACTAGGTATTTCCCCCCCAAGAGATGTTCAAATGGTAATTCTAATTTTAACCACACTCGACAGTAGGTGGAGATGAAATTTAAAGACTGAGGGGAACCGCACACCTCCAAATCTGTCACGAATCTCCTGTTTTCCTACAGCATTCAGCCTGCCCTGGAAGAGGTAACTCCACCAAGTCTATTCATGTTTCTAACAAGCCCACGCTAAGAAACATCTTCCCATGCTTCATCTATAAAGTGGAAGTGTATTTGAAACGAAGGTATAAGTTAAAGGGCACTGCAGATGCTGACACCCTACCATGTAACTTGTCTCTAAGCCTGGCTTCTCAACCCCAGTCTTTGATCTAAGTGCTGAGGTACCAGCACTTTCAGTATTTAAATTCTTTACTTTCAGTATTTAAATTCTTTACTGTAGTCAAGTGAAAAAGAAGTGTTTCCAAGTGCACGCAGGGGCTTTCAACGGGACAACCTCATTCTCTGAAGGCCCTTTCCCATGAACTGTCAGAGCCCTTGGACTCTGGTAGCAGCCACTCGTGTGTCATTAACATGTCAGCCGGCCTCCCTTCCCATGGATCTCGAGCTGTAAATCAGGCTCCCACAAACTCATAGCAGACCCTCATCTATGCATCCAGACTGCTGCCGCACCGGCTCTCTCCCCCAACAAGCAGTCTCCGCGGAGCTTCCACTGAAACCACACGGACTTTCTCAAGTTCACATGGGAGCTGCCGAGAAACGCAGGCACCACTTTGTCTGGTCTTCCCCTCCGTGGAATAAAGTTCTGGAGGAAGGGTTGCAGGCAGGCCTTTGTTGGCGGTCGCAGAGCTTATGGACAAACCCACGAGGAAGGTCTAAACCTCCACACCTGAAGGTACAGGGCTTACTTTCACCAAGGGCGTCAACAGGGACCAGCCACTGCATATAGACACTCAATGCCACGGGCACAAACAGTGGCTGCATTTCACCGATAATGGAGCCACCTGAGCAGTTAAGGCACTCGCCAGAGAGCCAAGTGCGGGTCCAGAGCAGGAATGCGACCGACCAGCGCAGTTGGGCCGCACACCACTCCCTTCACTGCAGCTCTGTCAACAGCTCCCAGATTCCAG